TCTATATTCTATCTCTGTCTTTTGCACTTGGTAGGGAATAGGGAAATGCTTTTTTAGTGGGTGTAAACGGACTTGATTTAACCCGTCCTGAGAAACGTCATAGCATAAGCGTAGACGAGGGGTCTAATTCCATGGCTATAATAAATTTATAAATTAAAAAACACAACTGGGACGTTTTAAAATGCTGTATTAATTAAAATGGATCAAAATGCCGATTATAGCAAACCGTAAAAAATATTAGATGTTATGTTTTATTATCTTTTTTCAATATATTCTATATCTTGTTGCCTTTTACGCAGACACGCCAATGGATTTTCGTTCCCGGTACGGTTCATCCCCCTTACTAGTCCAAAAGCTAGCGATGAGACACTCTCTATAATTTCGACCGCGGAGTATAGGCGCCATATTATGTCCGCCATCTTGGATTTTTCAATTCTGCACATTAGCATTTTAAAGTACTTGGAAAGACGAAATTTTTAAGCTGAAAACCATCTTCGTAGGTGCTCTCAAATTTTGGGTACTCGGGCTCTCTAGTGAGTTATTAACTCTAAATGAGGTACAATTTGTTTTATACTCATTCAAAACTAGTTTGTTCTCAGAAAACCATTGCTTCATCGTATTCATCAATACATTACCCATTTCAAGTATATCCATACAATTTGATCTCTTTATTAACAAATTTGTATTGTCTGCATAATTGACTGTAAATTGATTACTTTTATTCAAAATTATATTCTTAGTCATTTACAAAAATTATGAACAAAGAAACTGTTCCAAGCAAAACTGATCACGTGGTATGTAATCTTGTATGAAGGCTCTGTATGAACATAATAACATACAATGGTAAACTTGACTCGGACCCTGTATTTTGAGTCTTGATTGAAATAAAAATATGAGCCCATTAAAATTTAATTCATAGATTTTGCACTTTCCTCTGGGTTAGCAACCAAAATCTAGTTAAATATGGCCGATCTCCATGTTAAACTAACAGAGCTACCAAGTCCCTGCTAAAGCTGATCGTTCAGTTAATCAACAGTCAAATACGACATAATAGCATTCGTTATTTCATTAATTCAAAATTAATTGAATTTCACAGCAGAGAAACAGATAATCTAATTTTGCACAATTCTACGAAACTTTGTGCTATTTTGAAATGGATCTTGATTTTGGGGACATTTTTGAAGATGACGACAAAGAATTAATTCATTTTATTAATGATCAGGAGTTTTTTTTTTAACAGATTTCAGACTGTTAATAGAATTTTACAATAAGAAGTTAAGAGATTATATTCAAAACTGTCACAACATCAAAAGATCTCAACGCACATTGAAGATTGAGCTTAAAAATCTCTTGCTAGAGCTCCATTAAAATATCAGTGTAACCAACAGAAAAAAGATTAAAATTTTATTTCTTGAGTTCCATCTCATTTTATTACATACATGAGTAAACAAATCTATCCCTATCTTTTACAGTTTTATTCATGAGTATTTACTTTCATTAAATAAAAATATGAGACCATTAATATTTAATTGATGGATTTTGTACTTTGTTTCTTGGTTAGCAACTAACACCTTATTAAATATGGCCGACCTCTATGTTAAATTAACAGACCTACCAAATCGTACCTAAAACCATAGCTAAGTTAATCAACAGTCGAATTCAACCAAATGGCATTCGTTACTTCAAATTTGAATTTGACAGCGCAGAAACAGACAATCTAATTTCGTATAATTCTCCGANAGACCTACCAAATCGTACCTAAAACCATAGCTAAGTTAATCAACAGTCGAATTCAACCAAATGGCATTCGTTACTTCAAATTTGAATTTGACAGCGCAGAAACAGACAATCTAATTTCGTATAATTCTCCGAAATTGTACACTATTTTCAAATGGAAGAATTAATTCAATTTTTTAATGATCAGCGTGTGTATACAGATCAAGATCGACCAGATAATTTAAATAAATTGTACAATTAAGTTTTTTTGACAGACTTTGACTAAGGACCACTACTGTTAATAGAATTATTCAAGAAGTTCAACAGTCAACCTAGTGACGAACGGTAAATATAAAATATATTTAATACAATTTTTAATTTGGGGTGCTCAAACGAGAGATGTTTAGAAACCTAAAAGGATAGGAATAACAGAAAAAATATTTGAACTATAGTCCCGATATGATGGTGAATTTGATGCTAACAATATGAGATAAGAATTTTTTATTTTGCAAATTTATATAAAAAAAATAAATTTTGACGTTGCAGAATTGTTTTTATTCCCTTTCAGCATGGTTAAAAAAAAAAACCTCAAAAGTAGATCCCCACTGACAGCAGTACTTGTAACCATATATCCTATTCTAGAAGTAAAAAGTCAATAGAGAACAAAATTGTACCAATGAGAAGTTTACGTTTTCTATAATTTAACTATACTCCGCGGTCGAAATTATAGAGAGTGATTCATTGCTAGCTTTTGGACTAGTAAGGGGGATGAAGCATGCAGGGAACGAAAATTCATTGGCGTGTCTGAGTGAAAGGCAACAAGATATAGAAAATATGGAAAAAAGATAATAAAACATAACATCTAATATTTTTGACGGTTTGCTACAACCGGCACTTTGATCCATTTTAATTATTACAACGTCTTAAAACGTTCCGGTTGTGTTTTTTTAATTTATAAATTTATTATAGCCACAGAATTAGACCCCTCGCCTACACTTATGCTATAGCGTTTCTAAGGACAGGTAAATCAAGTCCGTTTACACCCAAAAAAAACATTTCCCTATTCCCTACCAAGTGCAAAAAACAGAGATAGAATATAAATCGATGTTCACTGTAATTCAGTCTATAGACGATTATATAGTAGGATCGTATTCGATGCAAAGTATAGCAAAAAGTTGTCAGTCTTTTATCAAAGGAAAATCGTGTCATCATTTTTAGGAGGCGTAAGATGAATCATTTCAAATTTAAAATAAAATTGAATGTAAAATCTGAAATACCGCTGCATACGCACTGTGTTCTGGTAGTAGCTGTAGTCGCCCAGGTGCATCGAGTGTACGAACTGGTCGGTTATACGTCAAATACTAACCTGGCGAGCTTAGTCGTATATCAAAGAGCGCCTCCAAAAAACAAGTAAACAACAGTGGCACGTACAGAGGTAAAATGTAGTACATATGTGGAATTTAAAAAAACAAATTGGATTTATAATAAATTATATTTAAAATACATAGTTTATGAGAATAAACGAATTTTTGTAGGAACAAGGGTGCCAGACGTGAACTGATCCCTTCGTCCCTTCATAATGTATAAAGAAATTATTCAATATCGAAAACCCTTAAAAGCGTGTGGCACTGGATCCCTTGACAGGCAATGATTTATTACTTTGCATCGAATATGATCCTACTATAGATTCTATCGATGTGCGTAGAGAGCGGCACAAAGACAAATAATATTGAACCGTTATAAAAATCATTTTATATTTTATACGCGTTATGGTAATAGTGTTTTTATATTATAACTGAGTCACTCTCTATAACAAGGGTCGGCAACTGGCGGACCGCGGTCCAGATCCGGACCGCGGAAGGTAAAATAATGGACTCCCGAAAATTGTTTGAAAGTATAAATTACTCAATTAAATTATTTAAATAGTTTTCTATTGATAATAATACGTTTGAGTGTTGTCACCCCTATTATTTTTACTACAATTGCGTGATTGATTTGAGTTCTTAATGGTTAGTAGGTAGATTAAATTTGTGAATGCAAATTAAAATAAAAAATTAGTAAGGAATGTGTTTTTTTTGTGGACTTCGTTAAAAATTTTCAAAAGTATCCGGACCCCACCTAAAATTACTTGCCGACCTCTGCTCTATAATTTCGACCGCGAGATATAGTTATTAGTTTTTATTTTAGAAATTCAATAATGACAATGATATTTATGTAAAATGATACTTTTAGCTTCGGCCATATAGTTTTGATTTTGAAGGATTAGTAGGCAATTATATGAAATTATGTCCAGAAAGAGTCAAAAAGGCCAAAACAACCACAATGTATACTGAAAATTGAGGTTAGAAATCTCTGATTACAGTTCCATCACCACATTAGTACAACCAATAGAAAAAATATTAAAATTTTATTTCTTAGTTTTTATCACATTTTATTACATAACTAAACAAATCTATCCATCTCTCTTATAGTTTTAGTTATGAGCCTACCTTTGCAAATTTTTCTAGTTTGGCTTAAGGACACATTAAACTTAATGTTCAAATAAATGTAGCTCAAAGTACAGAAATAGATATTTATTAGATGGTTAGGTACTATTTAATCGGCATTAACTAATGGGCAGATTAATAACGACTCAAAGTACCAGGCCTTAATGTTCTAATAAATGTAGCTCAAAGTTACAGAAGTAATGATTATTCTTTAAAGGGCACATTTTATTACATAACTAAACAAATCTATCCATCTCTCTTATAGTTTTAGTAATAAGCCTACCTTTGCAAATTTTTCTAGTTCGGCTGAAGGGCACATTAAACTTAATATTCCAATAAATGTAGCTCAAAGTACAGAAATAGATATTTATTAGATGGTTACTATTTAATCGGCATTAACTAATGGGTAGATTAATCACGACTCAAAGTACCGGGCCTTAATGTTCTAATAAATGTAGCTCAAAGTTATAGAAGTAATGATTATTCTTTAAATGGCATTAACTCATGCCCAGTTTTAATCAGGACTTGAAGTAAAATAGTAAATTAAGCAATTATCATTTAATTAACCCAACTACTTGCAATCTACCAAAAAAGACTGGTGAAAACTATGGAGGAGAGATAATGAAATTAATTTTAACTATTTTTGTACCTTGGATGTCTTTCTGGAAATTAAGTTCTTTCTCGGACTTCCCAATGAGATTTTTGAAACATAATTCAAGAAGATTGTGAATATCTTTGGTTAAAAATAAATTATCACTTCCTAGGAAAACACAAGCCAATCTGCAGAATTTGTCTGTGGGGTTAATTGACGAAGCCAGCAAAGGAAAATAAGTTTCATATATTAAGATCCATCTCAAACAGTTTCTTATTGTAAAAATTTGTTGTTCTTCATTTATATTTGATTTGTTCTGCAGCTGGTTGGAATAAAGAACTAATATTGGGGTATATATCCAGTCGATAGGAATAACATTTCCTAGGCTTGTGTTAATGCAGCTCATTGTGGAAAAATCTGGTACATCCTAAAAAATGCATACATCATTGAAGGTTTTTGATAACAAATGTATTGTAAATGTGAATTTGCTTAACATGAATAAAAAAATACCAGTAAGTGAAAATATATAAGGTGTGCCACTTAATGTTCCCAATGGTGTTTTCTTAGAATCTAAAAGATGCACTTTACATCAGCAGAAGGCCGTAAAAGGTTCCATTTGGCATAAAAGTAATTTTTCTATTTTCATACTTGCAGATGGCCTTGTTAAATAGTGTACCAAAATTTTAGGTAATTTCATAACACAAACAAATTCCGTTACAACATCCCTTCACTGGTATGAAATGAAACATGAGAACATATAATTTTACTTACAGCTGGTAAGTAATTGTGTCTTATTTTCATTAAATAATATCTTACTGAGTATACCGCATAACAATTACAGGCTTATTTTCGGAGATATAAGCGAAAAACTGAAAAACGAGCAATTATTATTTTTTCTTTTGTTATAAACAATATGACGCTCGACCTCTACAAATACACAAATTTAAGTTTTTGTTCTGCGTATTTGTTACTTAATTTTAAGCCCATAAAATTCGACTTGCAAATCATTGTCAATTAACCTTTTTACATTACAAATTCTTGACTTATTTGATTACAAGGGTCACTGCAAAATCAACAGAAGTTAAACAATCAAACCACTCATTTTCGATTAATTACAAACTCTTCCGATGTGCTTCTATAATGGTAAAAGGACAACTAGACGCTCAGCTTTTTGTCTTAATAATAATACACCAGTCTTTCAGCTGACTTTCTGTTGTCATGAGCAATGAACACGTTAATTAACAACGCCACAGAGAATATTAAGTGGCACACTATATGTATATAACTACATAATACAATAGAAGAACTTACATTTTTCAAACCTAAGACTTGGATATAAACTTCTAAAATTTGATCCATATTATATAAAGATACTTCTAAACCTTCGTCTTGTTGATCGATGTTTAAATTTTGTAGAAGAACATCACTTGGGTAAAATTTCGAACAAAATATTATACTTCTTAGGATGTATTCTATATCACTCTTCTGTTCAAAATTAAATACACATAAACATTTTACAGATAACTCATAGAAGATTGAAGTATCTAGTTCCTTTTTAATTGTAACTGATGTTTTCAAAATATTCATTAGGATGAAACTTTCTGGCCTTGCAAACCAATTATTTGTTAGGTAATACTTCTCAAGTTTCTGTACAGATTTCAAATATTTTTGTATGTTTTTGTGCTGAAGAAATGCCAGTTTCACCTTAAAATAATGTTAATAAATGAACAAATTTTATAACATACAGTGTTGCAATATTCCGAAAAAACTTTACAGGCCACTCGCTGGCCAAAAATAAGAAAAAAAGTTAATGCAATGTAGGTCCACAAACATATTTTTGATATATAAGGCGATAATGTATTATTTTAATAACTATTGACGTTTATTTTACATGTCTCAAGTTAATCCATTCATATTTGGTAGATGCAATTTTTTCTTGAAAATCAACGTAATACATGAATTATTGTCTAAAATAATATAAGGTGTGATACCTTGTTTGGAAGAACACCTGCACCTGCTTGGATTTCTTTTATTGTAATGAAATTGACTTTTCATTTGGCAAAAGACAATAACTTTTTTGTTTTACCCTAGCATTTTTAACTTGTCAATTATTTGTATCTGTAACTTAAAGCATACTCACATTTATGTGATTTGTCAGTCAGATTTATGTAAAACTGTAATACATTAGTACATTGTGTAACGAGTGGGGAAAAGTTGCCAATAGCGCCACGCGGACGCAGTTGACGCACGAGTGAAGCGAGTGCGGAAAGCGCCCAAGTGGCGCTATGGCAACTTTTCCGAACGAGTTGCACATACTATTTTCTATCACAAGTGCGAGTCGTTATGGGATCTATAGCATAGGGGGTTAGGTGCACAGAAAGTGCTAGATAGTACTATTGTACTATCTAGCACTTTCCGTGCACCTAACCCCCTACACTATAGGTCCCATAGCGAGCGCGCGTGATAGAAAATATATTTCAAGCTTGGGGTCTTATCCAGCCAGAAAATAGGACACTGGTACAAATCTAACCACCAGGAAATATGTAAAACAAATCAGAACAAAAAAACAAAAATAATTCATTTATGGACCTACCTTATATTTGGTTAAAGAAATATCTTAAGCCGGGTACTCATCTGCGCTCCATATCTGTATTTGTATCATGTATTGGAACATAAATTTATAGTGTGTACATCTTGCGCTTCACGTCCAAAATCCAAAATCTTCGTGGACGTTTATAATCTTCTACTATATTATGTATAAGTATATAAGAAGCACTTGCTATCATAATAGATTTGTCTGGAGACGACATGTTTTTACGACGAATGTTCTTCGAACACTGCGGAAACAGATGATCGCAGTACGAGCCAATACTGTATTGTAGCAATACATGATACAAATACAGATACGGAGCGCAGATGAGTACCCGGCTCTATATGTTTTCTCTTTGGACAACTGCACACCTGGTATCGTATAAGTCAAATATTGTAGTTGTGTAATTGATAAAACATTTTTTATATCTATTCATACTACCTCTATCAACATCTGGTTGTGTGGATGTTGTTAGAGGGTCATACTGTTTGAAGAACTTTCAAATACATTTCAAATTTCTGTTGTACAGTTACTGCTAAATATTTTTAAACAAAAATTATAATAAATGTTGATAAGGAAAAGTTGAAAAGTTATTAGATCAATAGTAATTAAATTTTACCTTAATTTGATCCGAAACATTCACATAGTATGAAACAGAATATAAAAATGGGAAGCAGCTGTTTGTTTGCATTGTGGGTATAACGTGGTCCATCGTATGCCAAGCTGCGGCTTCCAGAGACTTCATATTACTACTTGACTTATGTGTTTCATAATTGTTTAGTAACATGGACCCACTTCTAAAAATATTATCAACTTATATATCTTATTGGTATTATCTTAAATTGAACTTACTTTATATTTCTTGTAACTAAGTCGAATCCATCTGCATTCAGTAATCTTAAGACTGCTTCATCAATTTTATTATTTTGTTGATACCGTCTAATACATGTGAGGCAATATAAAAAGGCTGATATTATTTGAAGCTTACCACACTGCAAATAATAAGCATAAACTTGCACACACGATTTCAATAAATACAATTATTTTGGAAATAACAATCACTGAAAGTTTCACTCTACAGGGTCGGAAAGTCCCCATGGTTCATCGGCCGTTACGTGAGAGCGATAAAGTAAGTCATAGAAATCCGTGCGATAGAGAAAGATGGCTATAATGAAGGCGTCTAATAGTCACCGCCCATTTCGCCCTTCCACAAATAAGAAGTGGATCTTATTTGTGGAAGGGCAAAATGGGCAATATCTCTATCGCACGGATTTCTATGACTTTCTTTATTGCTCTCACGTAACGGCCGATGAACCATGGGGATTTTCCGACCCTGTATAACATTTATAATTATAGTTCAGGGAAACACGACTCGTAACAAAACAAGATTCAGTTTACTACTGTAAATGTAAACAATATTACAGAATATACAAGATGTTCCTTAATGATATACGAATATTGAAAGGTATGATTCTACATGGAAAATTAATAATAGTTATTATGGTCCAAAAATGTTCCGTTGCGAAAATACAGTGTGTTAAAATTTTAGAAAAAAGAAGGAAATTTATTAATATTTTTGAAACCGCTTGATATTCAGATAAAATATTGATAAAATATTCGCATATCATTAAGAAACACCCTATATGTCATCACACAACAATATTAATACTACATAATAGTATAAAAATGAAAACACTTAACAATGTTTAGAATACAAAGATTTGAACATCTATCACATAATAATAATTTATGCACGGAAAATGACAGTTTAGTCCTTACTGTTGAAAACGAGAGAAATGAACTATATATTTGGTAGTAACTCCTGACATGTATAGTTTTTCCAATATCAATTAAAGAACCAACAGATTGACAGTATGTACCAGGTTTGGTCGCTGACGCAGCAACTCGGCATTGAAATATTTGAAAAACAGGAAAACAAAGACAGTTGCATTGGGCTACTGGGCAATAAATCTCAGCAGTTGACAAGTGGTTGATAAATAGACCAGCAGTGCAGTGCAGCAATGCGGAATTTGGTGTGATTCAGGTAATTTTTATTTATTATAGGCATCTTCATCATCATCAATCATTCATGTTACAATTACGAAAGGGAGAAATAAGAGGGATATTTTGTTTACTAATACATATTATCACAACATGGCATTTTGGAGACCTTTTGAAACAAAACAAAACAAAATTTACCATCAATATAATAAAATTGTTTGAGGATATAAATAATTAAAATATGTTGTTGGCTAAATGAACATATAATAGAAATTTTCTACACATTATATACAAATTATTATAATTTTTTACCTTTAGTAGAAAACTTTTTTAGGGATGCCTATGAAACTCATTAAATTTTATTACAACGTACTTTTTTGCATGTTCAACTGACTTCGGAAAGACTATACTAGGTAGAACTTTTTAAATGAAAACCACATGGCAAAAACGATGAACGTCATTTTTATTTCATTTGCTAGAAAATTTATTTTAAAGTTTAAAATAGAAATCATACAATTTAAAGTTTAAATCAAAATTTTTGTCAACGGATAATTATTTATCAGTGAAAACGATAAAAGTACCTATCCTTAGACCGCTATGATTTTTCTACTTTTTACATGCATTTTTTTGGTACTAATATCCTTATTATACCGTAAAAATTGACTTTCAGCATTTTTGACCTGCAGTCTTCAAATGTTTTGTGACAATATTACAACTTAGCAACTAAGCTCTAAAATTTAAAGATGATCAACAGCATACTCTGTAGTTTAACCCTTTCGCTGCGTAATACGTCTGAAAGTAGCTACCGCGCCGTGCGCGAAAGTTTACTGCATGCGAATATATTCGTCAGGAGCGTTGTGCTATATGAAAATAACATCACGCCGTTGTACTATCTGGCACTTTCCGTGCACATAACCCCCTACGCTATAGGTCCCATAGCGAGCGCGCGTGATAGAAAAATACTTACTACAAATTCTTTCAAGATCTCAAACTGCAGTATCCATTTCATAAGACATTTATCTAATAATAGAGGCAGAAAAGGAATAATTGAATTGTAATTTCTTTCTACAGTTTCTGCTAGAAGTATTAGCAATCCAGAGACGTGTCCTTGTCTAGCATAAGTGGTGGTCATGTCTAAATTTGTGTTCTTGAAGTGATAATCTAACATATTTAATAATACTGGCTGAAGTGCGCTATAAAAAAATATTGGTGAGGTTTGGAAAAAAACATGGATAATTTCTAAGTACTTAAAACTATCCAAAGCTAATCCATAATGTATAAGAAGACTCCAAAAATGCATGCATTCTGTCTGCAGCCTTAAACCATTAATGTTCAATGAGAATGTATCATTTGTCAAATATAATGCAATGGAATCTAAAATTTTATACCTGAAAGAAAATATAAATATAATTAAAAAAAGTGCTACAAGTTGCATTATAACATTTGGTATTAAAATTATATTTTCTTTTCATATTTCGTATAGTAGAGGATCCGCACTAGAAATAAATTCAATATATTAAAAAAATATATCTCGAGTGGGTTGGCTAAAAAATTCCTGGCCAGAGTATGATTAATTAAAAATTGAAAAATAACTTTTTATTAAATATTGCACTCATGAGTTTAACGAATAAATTTAATACCAACCGAAAGTATGAAACCTATAGAATATACAAACGTTGGGTTGTCTATTTTTGTCCGGGCGTAACTACTAGGTTGGCAGGTATAAACAGGTAAATTGATACTAGTTATTTTCTCTTATATCAAAATAAGCGCTATTTAATTGCGAACACGATGATATAGGGTTGTCTGTAAAAAATATGGCCTGAATGACGGTTGTCGAGTTTTGAAAGGTGAAAATTTTATGCAAGTGGAAACTTGTGACAAAGAGGTCCGAGCTAAATATCTCGTGCAATAGAAGATGACGCAACATTGCAGCTGCGCGCGACGTGACAGCCAGATGAAAGAGAGTCATATGCCATTTGTTCATGCAACAGAGAAGGATAGCGATACATTAGTAAATACTGAGCATTATTTTGGAGTGGTTAATAACCTAAAATATTGAGAACACGTGTTGCTACGTATCGTTGTTTATTCTTTGATTGATTTTAACGATGAAACTTTTAAAAATTGCTCATTGAAATTAGCGTTTCATAAAAAAAAAATTTTAAATACAACGAAGTTGAGCTGGTAAAGCATCACTTGATTTTGTTGGTTACCATACCACATATTATAAAAAGGTGACTGCTTTGGGAAATAAATACTATGAAGAATTTAGAAATTTTAGTACGGAGAATACAGTAAGTATAAAATATATGATTCTTCAAAATTATTATATAATAGTAAATATTTCTTCTATATTTAATTTATAATGAAAGAATATAACATTGAAAAATGTGATATTCTTATTTTTTTTACACCTATGGTTTTTTTAATTTTCCATTCTTTATTTTTTTATAATTTTTTTAAAGAATTTTTAGTTAGCAAATAAGCCACCCATGTAGCAATATTTGCAAAGTCTGGTTTCCACTCGCATAAAATTTTCACCTTTCAAAACTCGACAACCGTCATTCAGGCCAGATTTTTTACAGAAAACCCTATATCATCGTATTCACAATTAAATAATGCTTATTTTGATATAAGATTTATTTATTAAACAAATAGGTGAAAATAACTAGTATCGATTTACTTGTTTATACCTGGCAACCCAGTAGTTACGCCAAGAAAAAAATAGACAACCCAACGTTTGTATAATTTATAGGCTTCATACTTTCAGTTGGTATTAAATTTATTCGTTAAACTCATGAGTGCAATATTTAATAAAGTCATTTTTCAATTTTTAATTAATCATACTCTGGCCAGGAATTTTTTAGCCAACCCACTCGAGATATATTTTCTAATATATTAAATTTGATATAAAATACTTTTTATCCATTAAACAGATGGGTGAAGGTCTTTTCTAGTTCGGATCTTAGACTGGTACAGGATATTGATAAATTAAAGCATTACACAGGCCGACAAGATTTTAACCCAACAACACGATTATACTTTCCCAAAGGATTGTGGTGCACTGAATTCAAATCCGAGTTCCAAAAGTTTCAATTGGCTCTGGTTTTCAAGATATCCTAACGTAAAAGTGCCAAATTCGCGATTGTTTTATATTTTTGAGGTTAGGTTACATGAAAAGGTCATAGGGGCTTTGGGCTTAGGGTTTATGAGTTCTGGATTGAGCCTCCTTTGCGTGTAAATGTATTTCCAGATTGATATATTGCATAAAATATCGGCCATGTCGAATTTTTAGATGTTTTTAAGTTTGTTGCAAAATTTGACGTGATATAGTATTTTGCAGTTCAGATTCATGATCAGCGCCCCCAAAAACATGTAAGATCCCTACTTCCGAGTGCCGATGAATTTAGGTTTGTGGTGCTGTGTTGTCAGTATATTCAAAAATCGAGAAATAAGTCAAACTACTAAATATCAACATGCGATTTCTCAAAGACGAAACATGATATCGGGATAAATCCAAATGCGTTTTAAAGAGTAAGTACTTTATGACCCCATTAATGGTTTTAGCAAACAAATTTACCTTTCCATGTAACATAACCTCAAATATGTAATAAAATCGTGATTTTGGCAGTTTCAGGTTAGGATATCTCAAAAATCAGAGCCAATTGAGAAATTTGTACCTTGCATTAAAATTCAGCGCACCAAAATGTTTCAGAAAAGTACATTCTGGTTTCTGGATTAGAGGGTCGGCCAAATTTTGTCAGCCTGTTATTAAAAACTTACTTGGTAATTAGTTTTGTGGCTATAAATTTACTCCTTGCTGATAGAACCCTTAACAGTTTAATACTTTGTAATAAAGGGAGACCATAAGGCGAAGAAGCATTTGCACCTGAACACGAAAGAAAACAATTTTTTTTAATTATATCTGTTTTTAATTTGTTTTTAATATTATTTTTTATGGCACGAGTTTATTTTTATTATGTATAAAAGCTGCTTTTCCATCGACAAAAATGTACTTTGGAAGCATTTCAGCAAAAAACTGTTACACTTTTTTTGTTTTAACTGCTATGCCCCAATTCTTTTGCAAATTAATTACTTTTACATTAATTATTTATTTGTTAATTGTGATATATAATATACATACTTCGGCTAATCTCTTTTGGAACAAAATTTGTTATAATAGCCTCAATTAAACCATCACAGCTAAATATATTTGACAGAATAAAATCTGAATCTCTTGCCAATCTTATTAATATATCCATACAGTAAACTATCGTTTCAAGAGATGGTTTAATTGTATTAATTATATATCTGAAACAAAAATATCTCATAGATCACACAAGTACAAAAAATACTTTGGAAAGTATGACTTTTAATTTTTAATTAAGTAGAGCACATTTATTACCTGATTCTAGTTAAAATCTCTGTTCGAGTCAAACATTTAATAATGTTCTTTTCGACTAATTGTTGATCATTGACTGTATTGTCATCTTCTTTTTCATTATCGACAGCCAAGACAGGTTCTATATGTCCTAGACCGAATGATATCAAACCATCTAAGCATGTCTCATCTACTTCAGAGAAGATTAAATTTCTCATTGCTTTGATGCTAGCATTGAGAACTACTGGTGTATTATCATCAAGACAGAAACGGATCACAAAAAATATTTGTTCCAAAGGTATATCTATTATGTCATCATATACTCCAGTTGAATTTAGCGATAAAATGTTTGCAATGCAGTTCAATGCAATAATTTTTTGTTGTATAACACTGGACCTATAAATAAACCAATAAAAATAATGTCTATAAATATATAGTAATTGGAACATAAATTAAAAAATTCTAGTTGCATTTTTTTGTGTATATCATTCATTGATTACATACAGGGTGTAACAGAAATAAGGTTACAAACTTCGCCAGCAGATAGAATACTTACAATTAGTAGGAGTACTTCATATAAAAATGTTGCCTAAAGTGCTCCCTTGGTGAGATACAGAGTATTGAAAAGTTGAACAAAATTATTTTTTTTTTCAAATATTTTGAAAACGGTAGGAGGGAAATTTGGTACAAATACTACACTCCATACCCCTCATAACCTGAAGCCTTCAATGATTAAGAGAGGTGTGGAGATATGGGGAAGCCGGACCACTTTTTTTTTAAATATTTCTACACCACCAGTACTGACATTTGGATTTTCACCAACAGCTTCCAAAATAAATTCTTCAATCTCAACTGTATGAGCTCTTCATGGTCTTCCTTTTCCTGGTAATAGAGTGGTCGCTGTGCCTGTCTCTGCCAGACGGTGAAAGAGTGAAGTAAATAGGTTATGACTTGGCTGTTGTTGTTGTCGATATGGGTAAACTTGTTGACAAAGCCTAGCAGCTTTACAAACATTACCACTGGCGTGACCGTACATAAAAACTATATCTGTCTATTCATGACACGAATAATTTACCATTCTGTCAAACTTATTAAACAATTTGAATTAATAATGAAAACCGATGAGAACACTAACTTACTAACGAAAAGATGACTTGCCAGCAAAGTTGGCAAATATCATGATATTTATATAAATATCAAATATCGGATATATATCTTGATATATATCCGATATACCTCAAGTCTTGATATTTATTTTTTTTAATTAATTAGTTGATGTATAATATTATAGTAGCGAAATAAGATTAAGAAACTATTTAGGTAAATATTTTTATTCCAAATATCAAAAGCAAGAACAAAAAAATAAATACGAAAGTACTACGAAAACTAACCAATTTACAGCAAGTCAACATAAATTTCATGAATATTAAAACAAATACAAACACACAGCAGCTGCTCGAATTGACATAACAACTGGAGAAATAATGAAATAAAAATATTCATTCAATTTTACTTTGTTGAAAAATTCGGGGAATCACATAAATAAACACATTCGTCAACGATTTGCATACAGTTTTTCTGCCATCTGTTCACAGTTTTAGCAACTTTAAACCAGTAGGAATCATTATTTAAATTATTGTTATAAATATCATGATATATATCAAGGAATAAATATCGTGATAGATATTAATGATATATATCGGATATATATCATGCCAACCTTGCTGGACAGTAGGTCACTTGATTCTGAAAAAAAAATATGTTTTTATTATACAGTACAGGGATCTTTTAGCGGAACTAGAGAAAGAAGGCTCGCCCGAAAAATGTGAAGTTACACTTTTTGCTCTAAAGGGAACAGGCAATTTAGACATTCACCTACATTTTTCTAAAGTCAGTGACGTAGAAATATTAGAAAAAAGGGGTCCGGATTCCCCATATCTCTGCACCTGGATTACACTCTTAATCATTGAAGGCTTCAGGTTATGAGGGGTATGTAGTGTAGTATTCGTACCAAATTTGGGATTATTTCTTTTTCAAAATATTTGAAAGAGAAAATTTTTTTTCAATACCCTGTATTATTCCACCAAACAAAAATGTTTAAAATAAAATTTAGTTTAATGTTGTTTCTGAAAAATCTGAGCAGATGTCCAATGACAACTAATCATGTTGGGAATGGCCTGGAAAACACACTGAAGGACAAAATTCAATTTGACATTCCCACTAATGTTTGTCTCCATCTCTGTTTAAACATCAGATATCAGATATGCTTTGGGTATCTCTCTCCTACAGAAAAAAATTCTCTCTTTTTGAAAAGGTAATTTATATTAGGAGACGCAAAAAAATCAACTTCAAGATATCTATTACCTATTAATCTTTATGAAAAACCGAGTGTGGAAGTGATAGTTACCCATAGCGTTTAATATACATATAAGAATCTAAAATGAACTTACCTAGATAATTGAAACAGTTCTTGTAATGTGTAGCCTGGTCTACCTGGTTCTTCTCCATGATGATAAAGAATTCTATTTTTTTCATTAATTTCAGGTTCTGAATATGGCAACAACCACCCCTCAAAGTCAAACCTAGAATTAAAGACGGTGATTGGTATACATATTTGTTTAATAGTATCAGAAAATACCTTGCTTCAAATTGTTTAGATTTATCAATATTGGGTATATCTACATTCTTCATCCAAGCTAACTTATTTGTTTCGATAGTGTTAAAGTTCAACCATTTCTCAGCACTGGGTTGCGTTAATAACTCTGCAGGAGTTTCGATTTCTTCTATATTAACATTTTGGGCAGCCATATTTTGTTCCTTTATAGTAGGATTTCGATTTTCAAATATTTCTTGTTTTCTTCTGGATTTCAGAAATGCTATAATGGCTGGATCCAGGGTGGCAATAAGTTTTTCTCTTTCTTCGAGGATTTCTGCCTCTGGCATAGATTTTATCACTTCTAAATTTTCTTCGTGAATCTGTTTTCTATCTGATCCCGTTAAAATATAGCTCTGAGATGGCAAACTTTCGCCTTTAACTATTATATTACTTTTACTTGAAGATGGATCGGTGAAGCTTTTTTCTTTTATAGATATTGTACTTTCAGATATTAATATACTATCGGTTTCCATAGGTGATTCTTCTCTTTTTATTTTTTTAGTCTGCTGTGAGAAAATGCTACCTTTTCCATGAGCTACTGTAAGCTACAAAAATTATGGACAATAGACAAACATTGATAAAATTATTAAAGCTGCAATGTTATTTCACTAGAGCGAGATACATTAAAATAAAACAAAAAAAAATCTTTCACTACAATGACATTACATTTAGTAAACTCATATCTTGATGTATTTATAATGTGAAAAAATACGGAGTATAACAGTGACATTGCAAGAAACTGTTACGGCTGGTTCCTATTTCAAAATTAAATAAAAAAATGGGAATTTTAAAGTTTTAAAACAATGTTTGCTACGTTTATGTAAAATTTGAAGAAAAAATAAACAAATGATGAAAATTATGAGTGACTTCAATTGTCAAAAAAAAAAGATTTATTTGTTGGTAGAAACTTTTCTTTTACAAATTTGGATGGACTATTTCCAATCAAAAGTCTTATGCTCCTCAAGCTCACAAATAAAAGTCAGCAGCTAATCACGGATAAAAGGCAACAACTAAAGGTATGCAGAGCCTTCATAAATAATTATAAACCACGTGACCAGTAATTTTGTTTTGAACGGTAATTTTATTTCCTTCATGTTGGCAATTAAATTTCGGTAAATTTAAAAATTATTAAAACAATAAAATAAAAATTCCATTACAATCAAACATTCTGTTTCTCTGGCTGTGATTGGTGTAATTTTTCAAGAGATTCTATTCAACAATTAGCGCTAGCATTATCTCGAGTGTAGACGTAACAGTTTGTCATTATTCATTGTAAACGAATAATTAATATTGGTGATGCCAATATTTAAGGATTTTTTATCAATACCAACCCTGCAATGTTGGTTGCATAAGCTCGGCTTGTAAATAAATTTATGAAGGCCCTGTATATTAATTTTCTTTCATGATACCATTTGGGATAAATATTCCATAATATACATAATATTTTGATAAACAATTAACAACTAATAAAATACTGAACATTACTGAATGAATATAACAGTCTTGGCTATAAGGCATTAATTTTCAGTTCTTTGCATATTCACAAAAATCCATTTTGTTTATTAGATCTAGCAATGCCCAAAATTGAGAAATATGAGGATGTTTCAGGAAAAGGCAGCATCTACTGTCCAAAATTTGATATATACTTTATTATTACACTACAAGGTATAAGTTTCTGAGTTGGTTGAACAAATGTATGCAATTATTCTTCTTTTTGTCTCATTTCTCTAGACTGTACGCACTAGTGTATAAGTATACAAATTTTCCATTTCTAGTTTTGGCTAGGGCTGTATGTTCCATATAGGTATACTTATTAGTAATGGATTACTGTGATTTCATCAAAATATCATTTACCAAACACGTTACGTAATGGAACTGATTGGGCTCTAAATAATTATAAAAAATTAGAGTTAATACTCACATCTCTCCTTTTTGCTTGTGGGAAACCGTTCCCCTTACTAAATTTAAACACCGATACATTTCTTATTTCAGGTTTCTTCTCTGTTATGTTTTTAAGATTAATATCATGTGGAATAGCCTCAAACGTATTAGCTAGTTGATCCCCTATGTCAACCTTATCTGATTTAATTTCACTTGTTTGTTCCTGACTAGTTTCATCTGTAAAGATATTTCCTGATGTATTATTGAGAACAGTTTAAAAATTTCTACTCTTACTCTTTTGCAAACTAACAAATGTAGCGGCTGGACTTATTTTATTCTCTGCCTTAGCTTTTTCATATTCTTCTTGTAAACGCAACAAGTCTTCCTCAGTTTCACCTGGTTTAGGTCTTGAATACATTTTATTATTAACAAAACATTTAAAAAATTATTGATATATAATCATAATTCTAGAACAACACATATATAGTAATGATAGAATTTATTTTTATAATGTTTGGACTATAAAACAACCAAATCAAAACATAATACAATTAGGTTCATTAGTGATGACGTCACAGCGCCATCTTTGTTAAGCCAGGTCATAGGACGGGATCCAAACAAATATTTGTTGTCATTGTGGATGTATAGTGTCGTATGTGATTAAGTGTATAATTCTTTTTATTCGATAAATTGTGGTGATAAAAGGTACGTACCATATACATTTGGCATTATTATATTATATAAGTACAATATTGGTAATTAATTATGCATTAATATGGATTAAACACGCAAAGGAAGTTTTGAGGTTAGTTTAGACATTCCAAATTCTTATCAATTAAAAGCATTCATTTTATCAAGTAAGCTGCTGTAGTAGCCAAAAAAGTACTTTTGTTAAAACCACTAATTTTAACTCTCACCATTATTTGTTGTCAATGTTGTAGTCATTGTCTTGTATACAATTAAAAATGTACCTGATCAAAATGTTACATTAACTGTGTAACAATGTATATATATTTATAATATATATATAAAATACATATTTACTTTTCAGATATTTTGTCAAGATGGGTATGTGTTGGGCACCTGGCTGTAAACATTACAGTTCTAGGGAGACCTGTAAATTCTTTAAGTTTCCTAAGGATCCCAAAATATATAAAAAATGGATAAAACTTTTAAGGTAATTTTGGCATAATATAATTATGATTATAAAGTAATTTTAGCAATTTAATCCAATTATCAAATTAAGTTATATTGTATCAATTACCGAATAAATTTATGTATTTCAGGCGAGACAATACACCAGGACCTGGAGCTCGTGTTTGTAGTTGCCATTTCCGAGACGGTCTCAAAGAAAATGGCCCAGAGATTTATGAACATAATTTGGAAAAACTATTTCAACCTCATCATCTAACACCTGAAAAGAAACAACAGAAACACACCATACATGAATTATTAAGGTTGGTACTTGTATAGAATAGGCACTTGGTTTACATAAACTATTTTTTAAATTAAATTTTCCGAATTTAAATAAATACATATTCAAATATTTTTAGCGAACCAAGTACATCAGGTGCTACTGAAAAGGCAAGTTTACAAACAACCGTTGATGCAGATATTGTAACTTGCATTGCGGGACCTTCAGGCCTTTCACAACTAGACCCATCTGAAGAACTTACAGTTTCAGTGCCCGAAACTGAAAANAAACGGTTCTAAAGGGGACGCCATTATTACAGTCTATTGTTGTGAAATAGATATTAGCCGAGTTCAGTGTTTTGTGTCTTTTTAAACTGTTTTTTTATCTAATTTCAATAAAAATGCCAAAGCGGCGTATAATATGCCGACAATTACAGGAAAAGAGCCAAATATGTGCTACTTCTTTTCACAAGTAAGTTTGACATTGTTTCCATGGGCGTTCTTACAAGGGTGTAAGGTGTCCTAAGTATTTTATTTGTTAATTTATTATGTTTGTATTTTGATACTGACACTAGCTCTGTGTTTATTTGTAGAATACCATAAGATCCTGCGATACGAGCAGTGTGGCTAGAAAATTTCGCCATATCTGAATATGATTTTTCAAAGGATAATTATGTCTGTCGAAGCATTTCCGTGCTACAGATATTAAGGTAACAGTAACTGGAAAACGATGTCTCACACATGGAACTGTGCCTATTAATACAACATTTGGAAGGTAATACGTTTTAGCACAGTGTTGATGAAATGGTTGTGCCGTCTCAAAGGTTCCCTCTTCGAGAAATTGCCAGTGAAGGAAATTTTATAGATGTTGCTATAAAACATCTTCAATCACATGTTGTCCCTGTTCCATAAGAGACGAGCTGTCAATGTTGTGAGCTCAAAATTCAGCTTATTTTTGTTGCGTACATTTAAAACATGCTTATTTTCCCATACGATTAAATGTTGTTCAATGTAAATTCATTTTTCCGTTACTTTTAGTACAAATATGTTTTGTTTTCTTTGCATTGTTTATATTCCAGCAGATTTTAATTAAATATATTTTTGCTCCTTTTCTTGTAGTTTTATTTAAATTATTTATTTTAATAAATGTTCTTCCAGTAATCGAGAACTACTATGAAATAATAGAATTAATAGTAGGCAATGACATTGCTATAGCTATAGTACAGAGAGATCGAGAATGATTGACCGGGACCGGATTCTGAACGTACCCTGTCTCAATTGCTATCAAAACTGATTTCTGTTTGCTAAAATTACTTTTGTTTCCGTGCAATTTCATGGTGTTCTGTGGCGATTTCACAATTTGACGTAGGCATGGGTAACACTGTAAATTTTCGTGTATTGACACAACAATACCGCCATTATTCTATGGCTAGAAATTGGCCTCAATGATTTGGGATCGAGGGGGATTATCCCTCTTTATCCTG